AAATAAATTAAGAATTTTTTTAAATTTTAAACCCCTGAAATTCTAAATTTTAGAAAATATTTTGACTCTAACAAACTCTAAACCCTAAAGCAACTCAAACATAACATAGTCAACTCAAACAGAATAAATATCTGAAGTAAATAAAATAATATTAACGGTATTTTTGAATTTTTATCAAAATATGATTTTTAAAAAAATAGCATTTCAAAAATAACATTTTCTCAATTTATATTGAATTGTATCTTTTCAAACGATTATCGTAACGACTGCTTTAGTTACGGCTGTCCAGTTTAATCCCCCAGTTAGTGCATAGGCACCGAAACCACCAAGGAATCATGCTTTGCTTGGTGGTGAAACAAGCGATGAACAAGGAACAGAGAGAAAGAAGGCATCATCTACAATAAGCTGATAACGATTTCAAAGATCCAAAACATCAATCTTTACATGCTTCAACGACATCCAGAAGAAGAATCATTTACTCGTACTCGAATTGTACATCAACATGAATGTATTTCCTCATGAGTTGAACAATAGACCATGTGAATGTCGCCAGAATTTGACAATCTCCCTGTGTTTTGGTTTCAGAGACAACCCCATAAATGATCAGCTTCTTCAGATTCGGACATCTTCTCAGCAACTCCTCCATCCAGATTGAGAAAACATCATTGATCACGGTCCATCCGAGCTCCAATACAGTCACGTTCTCCAGTCGAGTGTCTCCTTGCAAACTGTAATGAGCAGCTCCATCTTTTAGGTCGTAGCTTAATGAAAGATGCGTCAGTTGGGAGAAACCAGCAGCAATGGACTCAAGATCGATGATTTCATCGTCATCATCAAAGACCACATCCCATAGACGGAGTTTTCTCAGCTTCTGCGACCTTGAGATCATCTGATAGAACTTTGGCCAGACCATCGTGAAGTGATTGACATCAACTACTTCGAGGTTTTCAGAAGTCTCCATGATATCAAGATGTATGACACTGACATCGTCGAGCTTGAAATGCTTCAAGGTCCCGTTTCCTATAAGCTCAAAGAGCTCGAGTACACAGTCTTTCATGTGCAAGTACTCGATACTATCAGCCTCCAGGATGAATTTATCCAAGCTAATCCCATCGAAATAAACACTCTTCAGCGTCGGGCTGCTCAGTTCAATCGTCACTTGAGCATCTGACATTGCGATCTCAAGACTCACAAGTTCCAAAGTCTGGATCATCGGGCATGCACTGAGCAAAAGATTCAGATCCAAGGCTGAAATACTGACATAACTCAGGGAAAGAGACTTCAAACAAGGGAACCTCTGGAAGGTTGGTTCGACACCAGTAATAGAATTATGAGCCAAAACCAAAGCTTCTAACTTTTGCCTCCCACAGATTTCAAGAATGTTGACATTTGGAGTGGTCCGGACATTATAAGACAACCGGCGCAGAGTGTCCCTTGTATACATAAGCCAAGCAATGACAGTAGCAGCTGAGAACTTGTTAGCATCATCCATGGTAATCGAAAGACCTTGAAGTCCCGTGGTTTGGAAGATGGTCTGAGTAATGAGGATTTCAAGACGATTGGTTGTGAGGTCTCGATAAAATGGCCAATCAGCGGAATTGAAAGAAAGTGTCTGAAGATGCTTTCGACAAGCTTCACGCCATTTCCTACATGTTGCAGAAGCTATCACAACATCTCGAGCTCCTTGGAGACGTGACAGTATGTTTCCAATAACTTCAACAGGAAGATGGTCCATGCTTTAACTTTTAAAATCCAAATTCTCAGAGCTAACACTGGTAGATACAAAAAAAGAAAAAAATTGGAATAAAACATCAAATTGTAACGAAAAAGTCGTTCTATTGAAGAATCTCAAACACAATCCCCAGAAAAATTCCATAAAATTTGATCTTGAACCAGATGAAAACTACATTTAACAAAAACATCATAGATCCGAAGAGAGAATTGAAGATTTGAGAAGACAGATACATGGGTGATGATTTTGATGCAAACAAAAAAAAATCGCATAAAATCTGTTGAATATCAGGAATCAAGCATTGAATAAATAGAAATGAAAACAAAACCGATCAATGAAGCAGAATCAAACCTTTACAAACCGATTTCGTCCTTCGGGGATAACAAATCGGTGGATCTGCGAGGAAGAAGAAGACGGAGGATGCGATCTGGAGACGAATCGAGGAGACGACGACTTGAGGGTTTTCTTATTTTTTTCACTCAAATAAAAATAAAAATTAATAATCAATTTTGGGTGGTGGGACCATGGCGGGATGTGAAAATCAATGGCATCCTAATAACCAGATTTGTACCC